CTCTGACGCATGCCGGTCCGCCCGGTGTCCTCCGCGGTACCAAGCGCTCTCGAGGGGCAGGTGCTGCCGCCTGTTGCCTCCTGTTGGCGGGCCTCGCGTCCGTAACATGTCCAGCGATGCGTGACTTTGGAGCCGGTTGTTTGCGTCTGCAGCTGCACTTCAGTATACTCCATGCACATGCTAGACGCCGCGGCTAAATGCCCTCTGTCGAAAACACATTCCTATGGAATGCATGAACTTACGGGATTGTTGCACATTTGAAGATATTGAAGCAGACGTCAGATATGATGGAATAAGCTCACCTTTAACCATTGAAACACTTTTCAGCAGAAAGGACTGCTCTAGACAATACGACTTCTCTGTTTAACACGCGCCCGCGTGGCCGGCTAGATACCCTTCGCTCGGGTGGGGGAGGATCAGTTTGCCCCTCTCCCCTGAGATCTCTGGAACTAAGAGAGCTAGAGGCACCAAATCGATAGGGTGTGTTGACCTTTACGTAAACTCACTTGGGTCAATTTTGAGGTTCCTAGGTCACGACCTTTGGGTCAAATACGGTCAAACAAGGTCAGATTCCGGGCTGGTCTCCAAAGTACCCCAGAACCGAGATAACTGTTTCTAAGCAAAACTTCGCATGCTCATTTAAAGTCAGTGACCTTGTTTGACCTTTTGAAGGTCATGGTGCTGCTCTGAGTTGTGCATTTGAATAAGAGACAAAGTTAACGCTAGACATGTCTATAAAAACAAGATGTTAACCTGGGTTGTTTTAGGTCAGTGACCTATAACGACCCCTAGGAAGCTCGTGGAAAATGCGTAGTGCGTTTCCGGCCATCAATAACTTTGAAATGAGCACGAGCAACTATCCCATACAGCGAGCCCTAAAGCAATAAAACTGGTCGGTTTTGACTTTGGTCTGACCTTCATACGTGGCCTTAGGTCAGCGTTATTTGCTCACTCAATATTTGTGTCGCTTAGGAAAGCATCTCAGAGATGTGCGGCTTCGTCTACCACTTCGTTGTTGCATCAGAATGAACGATTCCCTAGAATTGACTTCGCTGAAGCCATGGCCTAACTTTGACCTGCCATAGGTCAGCGACCTTGCGAGGTACATCTAAATTTATGAGGCCAAATAATCCGCTTCAATTGTCCACAGCTATGCTAAATTTGGCGTGGCTACGCCGCGCCGTTCGGGAACCATTCTGGAAAAACCTTCGGGGTTCAATTTGACACCCCACCCCACCCGAACGGGTGCTAATAGATATGCTTCTCAGTACGCCATTGTCTGATACTTCGTCGTATTTTGCACAACATGGACTGAGAGCCAATTGACCGGCGTTTTTATATGGAAATCGCGTTCGCGAACGTCAGTTATGAACGACTCGACAATTATATTTGGGGGCTTTGACCGCCGCATGGCTAATGGCATGGCAAATTTGAATGACGGCATTATGGCGCTATGAATGCCTGAGTGACCTTGACGTACTCACCCCTCCCCAAAATAATCTGCACATCTTCGCGCGCGTCTAGTTCATAAATCAAAGGGGTTTAGGTCTCGACGAAGGGCAGGACTGTAAACTGCAAGAAATGCTCCTCAAGATGACGAATTGAGTTCAAAACTCGCACAAACGTGTAACACTCCCTTTAAGTCATCTGGTTTATCCTGAACTTGGCAAAAACGTTAGAATCTGCCCAATTTTTTCCTAAAACACTCAAGTTAATGATAGTGACACCTGAGAGGGAGCAGATGTCCAGCTTACCGAATGGTTATAATTGCTGGATTGTGGTTCATCCGGCTGACTCACTAGGATCCATGCTATTAGAAGCCAGGCTTTTGTGTGAAACCCGCGAGATTGAGGATTATTTAAAAAATATTTTTCTGTCCCTCCATTGAGAATTGGATAATCCGCTCACGGTGATTTGATCTTTAATTACACTTTGGAGCCTTCAGTTCCACTGTAACCTACGTACTCACGTCTCCCAAACAAGGTCACATCGCTAATTCCCTCTCTCAAGCTATGTTCATGAACAAATTTACATTTCATCGCCTGTGATGCTGCACTTCATGGTACCCATCTCCCATTTGCAAAGTTAAAGACCGTACCACGTGAAAGTGAACGGGCGATTCTTGATGCCGGGAGGAGCCGGTATGTACAGGTAGCTCCCGTGAACGTTGACCCAAGCGTGAGCCGAGGTGGAAGACGTCCCGAGCTGGTGTGATCGGCCCGCTCGGGAGTGGATCTCCAGCCACCCTGTACCGCGATCAGCGGGCGCTGTCAGCCATCCTGTGCCCCGATCAGGGGCGCCGTCAGCGCCTGTAGGAGCGCGCCCGGCAGCGGTAGCGACTACCGAGCGCGTCTTCCACTGAGCGGCGTGTCCCCGCAGCGGCATTCGGCCGCCACCTGGACATCAGCGAGTGCGGCTTCACCAGCGTGCTGAGTATGCTGGCGTCGCTCGGGCCGCCGTTCCACCTGACCAAGCGGGCCGACGAGTGGTTCGTCTCGCTGCGCCCAGGCGGCGCCACGGCGGCCAGGACGGCCGCGCCGGCCGACGACTCGGCGCCCTGCTCGGGCTCAGGTCAGGCTTCAGGCGCTCCGAATACGCTTGTGTCGCGCGTTTCAGGTGGTCAGGATTTGTTTGTGTCGCGTGCTTAGGACGGTCCGGATACGTTTGTGTCGCGTGCTTAGGACGATCCGGATACGTTTGTGTCGTGTGCTTGGGGCCGGTCCGGATGCAGTGTTGTCGCATGCTTGGGGCGGTCCGGATACAGTGTTGTCGCATGCTTGGAGCGGTCCGGATACAGTGTTGTCGCATGCTTGGAGCGGTCCGGATACAGTGTTGTCGCATGCTTGGGGCGGTCCGGATACAGTGTTGTCGCATGCTTGGGGCGGTCCGGATACTGTGGTGTCGCATGCTTGGGGCGGTCCGGATATGTTTGTGTCGCGTATTTGGGCGGCCCGAATACGTTTGTGTCGCGTGCTTCAGACGTAGACTTCAGACGCAGACTTCAGACGCGAGAGTACGTACGAAGTACCGCGGGGGAGCGCATGTCAAGCGAAGGGGGGTCAGCTAACTCGTAATGGGGATACGAGCTGGGTATGGATGGCTCTCCTAGAACGATGGAGCGGCGAGCTCGAGGTATCGAGCACCAAGGCACCCTGTGATTCAGTGGAGCGGGTCTCGCTGGTGCGCTGCGGCCAGCTGTGAGACTGCTTACCTAAGACTTGACTTACGGGACTTGTGAGCTGCACTGCGGTGGATATGGCCGTGGTCACATCGGGCTCACGATCAAAACGGCCGTAGCGTCTTCCTCCGACGCTCTTGTCCTTGTGTGGTGCGGACCAGGTCGTCACTCCGGCCTCACGCCCGCCGCGGTCACAGCCAGCTCCCTCCGACTGTACTCACATGTCGGCGGCGCTGGTCACAGCGGCGCCCCTTGGGCCGTTACAGAGGCGGCGGCTGACCCGACGGGCGAGGCGGAGTCGGCCGCCGCCGGGCCGCCGCCGCTGCTCGGCCTGCGGACCGGCGTCGAGCAGCCGCCGCCGCGCCGCTTCAGCGTCCAGCGGCTGCAGCTGCTCGAGGCCGGCGAGCAGGTGCTCACCGAGGCCGGCTACCCGCTGCTGGAGGTGGCCGTCACGCACGTGAGTTGGAGCCGCCGGACCGGCGCGAGGCGGGCTGACACCGGCGCGGGGCGGGTTGACACCGGCGCGGGGCGGGCTAACACCGGTGCGGGGCGGGATGACCCGGCGCGGGGCGGGCTGACACCGGCGCGGGGCAGGCTGACACCGGCGCGGGCGGGTTGACACCGGCGCGGGGTGGGCTGACACCGGCGCGGGGCAGGTGACACCGGCGCGGGGCGGGTTGACGCTGGCGGGGCAGGCTGACACCGGCGCGGGGCAGGCTGACACCGGCGCGGGGCGGGCTGACACCGGCGCGGGGCAGGCTGACACCGGCGCGGAGCGGGTTGACACCGGCGCGGGGCAGGCTGACACCGGCGCGGGCGGGCTGACACCGGCGCGAGGTAGGCTGACACCGGCGCGGGGCGGGCTGACACCGGCGCGCTGTCAGGTGTGAGAGGCTGGACGGGATGGGGAGGGACGGCCGCCGCTGTGCTGGCAGGCTGTCGGCTCAGCTGTTCCGCCAGCGCGAGGGAACCAGCGACTTGACCCGCGCCGCACCTCGCGATGTTTCGCTATGCATGGAATTTGCATGATTTGCTGGAACTGCTCTCTCGCGCAGTTCTGTGAAGAATGAGCTTAAGCGTGCTGACAGCGTAGCGGTGAACCGCGTCGTGCGGTGTGGCGTGCGGCTCGGGACCGACACTGACCGGGCCGCGGCGACAGGTGCGCTCCCCGAGCGAGTTCCACTTCTGCCTGGCATCGTCGCTGGCCACGCTGGCCCGGCTCGAGGAGGAGATGTCAGCCGCGTACGGCGGCACCGCCGGCCGGCCGCCGCCAGCCGACCACCTGCTGACGGCTGGCCGGCCACTGGCGGCGCGCACGCCGGCCGGCTGGCGGCGCGCCCTGCTGCTCGGCCGCGCCGCCGAACACGTCAAGGTCAGTCCTCACGGCCCGTCGCTGCAGGCGGGTCAGCCCCCCCCCCCCTCCACGACAAGACGAGCGGAGTTGTTGTCTCACGTACCGGCAAAGTCATACCCACCTCAGCGCTGTTTGACCGTGCGGTTTCACCTGGACCTGCCCTGGACACCGATCAGACCATGCTCGTTGCCCGTGTTTCGGCTGCCGGTGGCGGCTGCTGGCCCTGTGTGGGGCAGCCTGTCAGACGCCGGGCGTGTTCTGCGGCTGCAGGTCCATCTGGTGGACGTCGGGTCGACCCTGCTGCTGCCGCTGGAGTCTGTGCGTCTGCTGCATGACCGGTTCGTCGACCCGCCCATCCTGTGCCACCAGGTGAGCGAGACCAAATGCAGCTCCTGATGCAGTGGCACCGCGGGCCGCTGGCGCGGGACGTGTGCTCACCAGTGGTGCTTGCAGGTGGTGATACTGTAGCCACGCGTCAACATGTAGTCCATGGCGCATGCAGGTGCAAAGGTGGCTTACGTGGTTTGAAATACATTCTGAACACGTGGCGCCGGTGCCTTGGCGTACACGGATTGTTGCATACATGATTGCCGGTGCCTTGGCGTACATGATTGTCCGCCCGCCCCCGGAGGTCGTGGGTGGCGTATCCGCGGTCCGCGGATACAGACGGAACCCTTTGTCCTGTCCTCCCGCCCTGTCCCGCCCTGTCCCGTCCCGGTCTCCGGTCCCCGGTACCCCCCTCCCCCTATCCTGTCCCGGTCTGGTCCCCGGGACCCGGGACCCGGTACCCCCCCCCCCCTATTCTGTCCCTGTCTCCGGTCCATGGGCCTCGCCCTGTCCAGTGGGCGTGTTGGTCCGGCCGTCGAGCCGGCCCTGGTCCGGTCAGCGCCGTCGCGTCCCCGCCGCTGACGCTCCCCCCCCCCCCCCCCGGCCGTCGAGCCGGCCCTGGTCCGGTCAGCGCCGCCGCGTCCCCGCCGCTGACGCTCCCCCCCCCCCCTCCCCGGCCGCAGGGCACGCTGGCCAGCATCGCTCCGGCCCGCGGACAGTGGGCGGAGAGCGCCATCCGCCTCTTCCGCAGCTTGGTCGCCGACCACGTGGTCCTCATGGCCACAGTGCTGTACCAGACCGAGGTGGGTGTGCTGACGCGGCGTGCGGAGGAAAGGTGGACGGAAATGCAGGCTAAGCGCAGATTTAGATGGATTTCTGCGCTTTGCGTGGCGCGTCCGCCTAATTGGATGTAGACGTCAGGACGCTGCAGCTGACTTGTCAGCAATGGGCATTGATGTGAAACCAAGAACGGATGATTCGCGGTGGAAACCCGTGGATGGTTTGCGAAACATCGCTTGCGTGAGCTTGACCCCAAAGCGCCCTGTGTAGATTTCGTGCCAGTCTTACGCCGTATGTGTTCGGCGGTGCATCCTCTTGTCGCTGCATCGGACGCTTTGTACTCCCTGTTTGCGCTGTGTCCAAGCCAACCAGCACTCTTCTGCCGGCAGAAAATCGCCGTGTTAGCTATTGCTCGTGTTTACGTGTCCGCGGGTGAAAACAGTTATCGGGAATGTGCTCTGATTTCGGCTCATCTGTGGCGTCCGTTTTGTATCCAAACGCCAAACAATGTCCGCCTCTGTACGTTGTACGCATCCGTCCCCAGTTCTGCAGCGCGCTGCTGCTGTGCGACACGCGGACGCCGGTGGACCTGCACGTCGGCGACCGGCTGCTGGAGGCGCAGCTGGCCGAGGTGGCCGACGACGGCACGGTCGCCCCACCGCCGGCGCCGCTCCGCTCGCCCCGCCGCCGCCTGCTCGACAGCGTGTACAGCCTGCTGGACGAGCGGGGGCGGCCGCCGGCCGGCCAGGACCGCGTGCCGCCGGAGGGCGCCGAGCCGCCGCCGGCCGCCGCCAGGTGGGTGGGCCGCTGCTGCCGCCGCCGGCGGGGCGGCGCTCGGAGGCGGCCGAGACCCAGCTCCTGCTGTGTTCAGTGTGGCGGCTTCAGCCTGCCGATGCTTTCCCTGGCCGTCATGAGATCGACAGCGCCTTTTCGTTGTGAGTGTTGGTGTGTTGGCAGTGTGAAAGGCATGCCGCCGACCGCGCCGTCTGTTCCAGTCTGTCGCAGTCAGCGCCTGGACATGGAGACTGCCGAGCCGAATTTGTGCAGGATCGGATCAACCAGCTCAAAGTGCAATGGTTAGTTCTCGCCCTTTCCGTATTATGATCCCGGCTTAGTGTGTGTCGTGGTTTTCGTTTCAATATATGATCACTGTTATGTGGTTAAGTAAGGATGCTGTTTGTGAGCTCATGCACGGCTGCGTCACAATATGCAGCAGAGCGTTTTGGTGGACACGTGGTAGAGGACTCTCGGACGACCGTGCCGCGCTGCTGCCAGTGCAGATGTCTGACCCAGCTCGGTGTTGGCCCCAGCTACGACACGATGAAGGCGTCGCAGGCGGCGCCGTCGGTGACCAAGCGGGCGGCGCTGCTGGCCAAGGTGCGACGGCTGGAGAGCGAGCTGGAGCGGCTGCGGGCTGGCGCGGCCGGAGCGCAGGCCCCGGCGCCGCCGAGTAGGGCCAGGCGACGCGGCCCGCTCGGAGCGCGGGTTCGACTGGCGCTGACGCATAGCGCTGGCGCCGCCGAGCAGGGCCGGGCGGCGCGGCCCGCTCGGAGCGCGGGTTCGACTGGCGCCGACATAGCCCTGGCGCCGCCGAGTAGGGCCGGGCGGCGCGGCCCGCTCGGAGCGCGGGTTCGACTGGCGCTGACGCATAGCGCTGGCGCCGCCGAGCAGGGCCGGGCGGCGCGGCCCGCTCGGAGCGGGGTTCGACTGGCGCCGACGCATAGCCCTGGCGCCGCCGAGTAGGGCCGGGCGGCGCGGCCCGCTCGGAGCGCGTATGTGACTGGCACCGCCTGCTGCGCAGAGCTCGGCACGGCCGACCGACCCCACCGGTGCGGGCTTTTCTTATGTCGCAGGGATCTTATGCGAGGCCTCTTCATATGTTCGTACCTGAAGCGGCCAGCTTGGGCTGTGATCCGCGTGTATCTGCGCGCCTTTGTGGGCAGTGTATTACCCTCCGTAATCATCGTGTATCTACGGGTTGAAGGCTTGCCGCCGGACGGCGGTCGGGG